TTTTAGTCTGAGGAGATATTATGGCTGATGTAGTAAGCATGTATGTGAACGTCACAAAAGAAAATTATTGGCTGTGGGAGCATTTGAATTCGATCCTTACAAAATTGCGTCACCACAAATTCCTCCTCAAGCCGCCGTTTCCAATAATTCTATCATGACGGAAACTATAAATTAGTTGCAGTATAGACTACGAGCTTGACTCAATCAGATAAAACTATACAAAGGTACGAGTTTATATAAAAATCATCTGTATTATAATTCAGTCCAAGTGCGGCTGTTTTCTAACTACAGCATTGTATGTACTTGCAGACTGAGTGTAAATTCAAAGATCATAACACTTCTTTACTTAGGCGCTTTTCCTTTTAGAGCCTCGTAGTCAAAATCGTAACAATACTCACAAACCAACAGAAATCCGAAGTATTATTTGAAAAAGAGTCGATGTAGTAACATGTGCGGATTTATAAGCACAAAACGCACCTTATATAGTACAGAACGAAAGTCCGAGGACCACACACAGGGTGCCCCGAAAAGTGGTATCGAACATTTTATCCTTAACAACTCTCTTGTCATAATGTATTTAGAGAAGCTTTAGGCACCGCTTTGTAAGCTGACTTGACCTTAGATTTACAGTATACAGCAAAGCAACGAACCAACGCTCTTCGTTGCTGTAGAATTACCGGACGCCATGAAAAGCACTTTTTCGACTTTTCAAGCGCAGTCTTGCACTCGGCCAAGGAGGGGTGACAAGCTCATGATTGGAATTTTCCCGAAAAACTGCCTGTAACAGCCCCGAATTCTGTAAAAGTTTCTTACTTGCAGTAGTCCATACATTGATGTGATGGTCTCATGTCTCGCATGGAAACGCTAAAAAGAAAAAATATTAGCCAACAATATCATTTTGCAGGAAGAATCTTTCTACTGCAAATTTTTCAGAAGAAAGTAGGTCAAAAAAATCGAAAATTTTGACCTGGTAAATACCGTAAGCACTGCAACTTTTTTCTGGGCGTCAAGTAGCGTCGCTGAAAATATGCTGTCGTCAAGAGATTCTTCCCGGAAGTGATTTTCCAAACATTTCTTGCTTCTAGGTTTCCATGCGAGATTTTACTGCTACGTAAAAATTCTACGGGCTTATTGGAGCCCGTTAGCGGCACCCGAGCTTTTCTTGCGATCAAACTCAAAATCACGAACATTAGTGCGCCATCTCTGAAAGCTTAATTCTCCGGGGAATCAACGAAGAAAGGCTTTCGTATACTTATCGTAAAGGGCGAACCTCCTCTTATTTTTATATTACAAAGTACGAATCTAGGTTCAGGAAGTGATGATTTTAACAAATGAACCCATCGGAATACACTTTTGCATCTTATATATAAAGCTGAATGTCTGTTTGGTCTGTCTGTCTGTGTGTACGTACGTTCCGAATAGAAAATTCCATTTCTGAACCGATCCGGACCGAACTTGGCACACATACACTTCGGGTCCCGGCGGGTGTCATAGGCTACTTTTCGTCATCGATCGATATCGATTTTATCGATTTTTATCGATTTTTTTGCAGAGTTCACTTACGGGGCTGGGAGTTGGCACAGGGGGGTAATCGAGCATGGGGATCCCGAATACAATATTAGTTTTCAGGATTATCGATTACTTTTATCGATTTTATCGATTTTTTGCAAAGTTTGAGCTACGGGGCTGGGAGTTTGCACAGGGGGGTAATCGAGCATGGGGATTCCGAATACAGTATTAGTTTTCGGGATTATCGTTTACTTTTATCGATTTTACCGATTTTTTTGCAAAGTTTGAGCTACGGGCCTGGGAGTTTGCACAGGGGGGTAATCAAGCATGCTGATTACGAGTTCGATATTAGTTTGGCGCTATTCGGCTAACCGGGCCCCAAAATTTTTTTGGCGTAGAGCTTGCGCAGATTCGTGTATAAGGGTCATCTTACATGCTGATTACAGATATCACACTTTCGTCGCAGAAAGTCTCCCCATGTGGTTACGATAGGTGCACGGTAGGAAGTCAAAATCATGAATTCGGCCGGAGTTCGTTCCAGAGAACTTATTCGACATGCTGATTACGAATTTCATACTCTCCTTGCATATTGGGACCTCTTCATAGAGTTGTGGTGATTATATGGCATGGGATCAAACATAGATTTGCTTTAAACTTCGTCTAGAGTGGTCATTTAGCGCGCTGAACATCAATATCATGCTGATTTCGCAGGATAGTGCATTTTCTTGGATTACGGTGGGTGTAGATGGGTCGAAGTTCCAGATTTGCTCAAAACCTTACCTGTAACGGTTCACAAGTATACTGCTTATGAATATAAAACTTGCTCGCTGTCATAACGCATTAATGAAGTTATGGTGAGTCGCAGGATTTGAATGGACAGGGCCAATTTAGATCCCAGATATTCATGAAATGGGGAAACGGTCGTTTTGCATGGCGGTCTCCAGCGCCATCCTGATAACCTGTTCCAACGTGTAACGCACGCGGCAAATCTCCCTCCCCTGATTTGCTTAGGCAAAAGCCGCCGAAGGATGTATCGCACACGGCAAATGTCTCTCTCCCTATTTCTGCTTAGGCAAAAGCCGCCGAAGGGTGTATCGCACGCGACAAATCTCCCTCCCCCTATTTCTGCTTAGGCAAAAGCCGCCGAAGGGTGTATTGCACGCGGCAAATCTCCCTCCCCCTATTTCTGCTTTGGCAAAAGCCGCCGAAGGATGTATCGCGCGCGGCAGTGGTCCTACAAGGAAAGCATTACGGTCGTGGGAAACTTTTATACCACACGAATTGCCTTTATCGCGGGGATTGAGCACGATATTCTTTGAACAGCACTTTAAGTAATTCCCTGCCAAGGTTTCAGGCAGGTTTATGATTTTTACCCGCTGCTACGCGAAATGACTACCATATTCTCATCAGCGGCTTTAATAACCCCCATATACCGAGTTTGAGCAAGACACACCACAGAAACATTTTGGGGCCCGGATAGCCGAATAACGCCATCAGTTTTTAGAATTATCCTTACTTTTATCGATTTTATTGTTTTTTTGTGCAAAGTTTGAGCTACGGGGCTGGGGAGTTGGTGAGGAAGGTAGGTGAGCATACTGATTACTCACGCAGCGGGAATAGGGAATGTAGAAGTGGGCACAGGTAAAGGTGTACAGGGATAGAAATGGAACCTTTATCGTTTTTGACAGGGCCAGGCGGAGCCGGGTAAGCCAGCTAGTTACCCTATAATTTAAAAGCAGTTAATTTTGTTTGAATAAAAAAAAATGAATTCAAGCGTCCTCTATGATTTTTGAAGTGTTCTGAATGACTTCAAAAGCAACATTCATAGAATTCAAAAAAGAGGTAAGACTTCCTCTGTTCCTCTATCACCCTAAAATAGGTTAAGGTACTTCCTCAAAAGATCATAATCAAAAATACGCAGAAAAGTGAAAAATGGGTTTAGGTTGCAAACGGGTTGCAGTTCACCTTGCTGCTGGGGGTAAAATGGGCTTTCGAGTCCGTTTTGGAGGCAAATCCCATTTTGCCACATTCTTAATGGACTCTCGCATAATTCTTTCGTAAACGAGAGTTCAGGTGAGGTTGAATCATTTCCATTGCACCGCTTTGCCTCGTGGCTGCGATGAGGGACAACTTTGGATACGTTAGCGATAGCAGATTCGGATCAGTCTCTACCGCGAACGGAAAAAAATGGGGTGGAAATGTTGTCTATTGTTTCCATTATAGACTTTCGTGGATATGATTCCAAGGTTAAGCAAGAGCTCAGGCACGTGTTCCTCAAAAACACCCCTCCCGCACCTTCTTCTTTGCACAACAGCCACAGCCACTACTTCCTCAATCTCACTTCCGTAATCTCATAACGTTGCACTTTGGAGAAAATAAACCGTTCTGGCAAGTTACTGATCTTAAAGGTTGCGCATGTTTTTCTGCAATTGCATACGTCTGACAAAGTAGGTGTAGCACAGCATTATTGACGGTGACTTTCTCCTTTGGTATGACTTTTCTCTATAACCGTAACTTTCTCAGGAAGGGACGGTTTGGGACCAAATTACTACTGTGGCAAGAACAGTTGTCACGTTTGCTACTCAAGACAAAGTTAAGCGTGAAGGTAAGTTGAGTAAATCAGACATATGGCTAAAAAGCTTAAGCAGCCTGATCTGAGGGGTGGTGTCTGACCTCATTGAGTTTGCCTCCAAGGCTTTTTCGACCAAGCTCGTGCGTTAGCACGAACATAGTATGATGTCGCGGCTGCTCACAAGTAGCATAATCACTGGGCTTGCAGTGATTATACTCCTCGCGAGCACAGCTGTGGAGACGCGCATCTTTTGGAAACAGAGCTTATACTGTAGACATTGAAAGTGAGATCCTCTCTACTTAGTGACTCTAATGAGCTGAGCAGCATAATGCGGCAAAGCGTGCATCAGGCGGGCTTGCTACGCGTGTAAGAGTGCTGTTCTGCCGCTAATCTAAACGGTAAGCGGATCGCAGTCGACCTTATAGCGTATGTGTAATACTTCAAATTGCTGTTTGACAGTTTATCAGACATGTGATTGTATGCTATCTGGACTTCTTTACCTCATTATATTTATACAGCGCATGGACATAATCATTAACTGAAGTGGACTCTCGGTTTTTTGTCGGTTGAAAAGAACATGGACGATTGGAATGTGTCAAAGCAGCAACGTCATTGGAGGATCAAGTGCGCCATGGCAACGCTAAAATTTGAGGTAATTCAATAATATCGCTGTTTGAGCTAAAGATCCTTGGGCGCAAAAGTTTAGAAGCATTTTGGATTAGCGTCGAAAATCAAGAACTGGAAAGAGGAGTGTACCGCCATGAAGAGGGAACGCGAGCCTTGTCCCTATGCAAATTTGAATATGAGGCCGAGTCCTCAGTACGCTAAAGCGCTGATTCACAGTCTTGTGCACATGTAGTCCTCGGACTGTGTTCATAACATCGGTAAAAGGAAATGCAATCCAGCGAAGTTGTAGCATGCCGATTTAATTAATAAGCAGACATATTATTTTGTGGGTTCCACATTCGACTCAAAACGGTTTCGTACGTTTCTTCTTGTTTCGCATCACCAACATTCTCCCCGAATACGTTTGTGATGACTGGCCTGCAAATGAAAACTGAAGATCGCAGTATCGAATAAAGCAAAACTATTCATAGCGAAATAGAGGATGTAATTAACGAATAGTTAAGATGTTGAACTTCGCGCTTCCAAGTATGTGACGTCTGTGACTGTCGCGATAGAAGGTAGAAGCAAGAGAACGATTATCCATACAAGGACATGCCGCAATATAGTTATGGGGTCAACTGTCAAAAACGCTATTTGCACCCAATGTGCACCCTAACACAACTGATTTTTGCACATAGTAGCCCCGCCTTCATCCTGCAATGAATGTAACCGTTGAGACAAGTGATCAGTATCTATATTTTATCACGACGTTTAAGAAAACTAATGGTTTTGCTCAGTAAACATAAAATTCAATTATGATATCTGTTTTCCACTACAAACTTGCAAAGATACTATTCACGGATTTTTTGTTGTTTATAATGGTGGTAATTCTGCTCAACATTTTGGGGTTCTTTTTATCTCAAAACATGAACCTTTGAGATCTATTGCAAGATCGAAAATGCTGAGAGACAAACGAAAAAATCTACTACGCTCAGAACAAATCAGCTGTTTTCGAATCCGTATGAGGTACCGCTTTTATTAGACTTCAAAACAAAAATGAAATTGTACCAAATTCTCAATTCTGACATTATCCTCGTCCTCATAAGATCTGTTTTCGGTTAGTTTTGAAGTATGGGAAGAGAGAAAAGACTCCTAAATATCAATTTTCATCCCCAATCGAATAAAAATCGCTACTGAGTTTTGGTCCCGTAATCTCAATGAAATCTTGGTTTTATGTATAACAATGAGGGCAAGCCGAGAGTCACAGGAGGTAAGGGGGGGGGGAGCATGCTGATTACGAAAACAAAGCGATAGGGATTGCAAGTAGAAGTGGTACTAAATAGTAGAAGTACTCTTAAAGATGCCAAAAGTTTTTTCTTTTTTGCTTTAATGGCTTCTTGGCTTCTTTAACAGATAAAAAACCGTCAACATCGCATTATGTAACTGTTGTCTCCTTTTCTGATCGCTACTCACGAGGAAGGTACTTTCAATGACCGTGGCCTTTTGATATGAGATGCATATCATCTGAAGCAGCTTCGAACGCTGATTCTAAAACTGTTTTCCTTTTCTGCGGAGCGCTCTTCTGAAGAGGTTATGGAAGCCTGAAAATCCCATTTTGGGGGCAATCCTTAACCTAGAGAGCGCTGCTATGTGCGTTGGTGATGCAGTGGTGCAATGGTTAGTTGTTGGCATTGAAGGAGAAAGGCTAAATTTAGTGCAGGGGGTACCATTTTGCACTACGAATGTGAGTTTAAGAACCACTGTAATTCGTCTGCAGACACTTACTGTAATGACCTTGACAAATGTGACTTAAGAAAAAAATTTTCTGGCAGAACCGCTTTTGTTGAGACTTGGTTTTCTCCGCAAAAAAATCATGTACAGTCGAGTAGATTTCCTGCTTAATATAGTGTCCCTGCAGACGCGACAACGCTGGGGCGTCAATAATTGCCTGACGAGTTCCTGAGCTAGTGTTTTCCAGTGTTTTTTGCTTATTCTGCTTTTTAGGTGATTCGTTGCTGATAAAGAAGAAAAGGGTAAGTTAGAGAGTAGTTTCTGTTTTCTGAGAAGTTCTATCATCGCATATTCACAGATATCCACGTGGAAGCAGTTCGCGTAGCTTCTTGTCTGTTTTTTTGTCACTTCATGTCTCTTTCTTCTTGTGAGGTACTTCTTTGAACGCTAGTGGGTTTTTATGATTGACTTATTGTCTTTATCACGTGAAGTACTTGATTAAAATGCTATTTCTTATGTGAAAGCCGAAGTTGCTACAAGACAAGCCAACTAGCATTTAAAGAAACGCCTCACAAGAAGGAGGAGGTTTGAAAGAAGAAGTGACAGAAGAAAAGGAAATGACAAAAAAATAGACAAGAAGCTGACGCGAAATGCTTCCACGTGGATATCTGTGAATACGCGATGATAGAACTTCTAAGAAAACAGAAACTACTCTCTAACTTACCCTTTTCCCCTTAATCGGCAACGAATCAACTAAAAAGCATGAAATAAGCAAAGAAAACACTGGAAAACAGTAGCTTGGGAACTCGCAAGGCATTTATTGACGTCCCAGCGTTGTCGCGTCTGCAGGGACACTATATTAAGCAGGAAATCTACTCGACTGTACAGGGTTGACGAAATTACAAAGTGAGCAAAACGCAGACATTTCTCACAACGGAAACAGCATTTGAAACCTCCTCGCAATTCTCATCGATAGTACCCATTAAGTTGCTAGGGAAACAATATTGGAGTGGCGTTTCAAATGAATTCAAAACCTATCAAATGAATTCAGTCAAACCGGATTCGAACCATCGACCTTTCACCTTCAATGCCAACAACTAACCATTACTTCACTGCACCATCAAAGCACATAGCAGCGTCCTCAAACTTAAGCGCCTTCAAACAGGATATTCAGGCTTCCATAACTCTCTTCAGAAGAGGGCTCCGCAGAAAAGGAAAGCAGATTTAAAGAGTTCAAAGCTGCTTCAGATGATATGCACCTCATATCAAAAGGCCACGGCCATTGAAAGCACTTCCCTTGTCAGACAATCCCGCGGAGATTCCTCGGAACAAACAATATTTGCAGCGATTAGGCAGTATTTTCTTTATTATTACAAACATGAAAACGTTGAAAATGGGTATCTCCGCAGAATTCGTGAATGATTGAGCTTCCGCAGGACTTGTTACAAAACGCTGCAAAAGTTCCGAAAATGCCAGCGGTAGCGCAGCACTTTGACCTGCCAGTATTTCCGCAGGTTTTTGAATATGTTGTCTCTTACGAGGATGCTCGCCAACACTACGGGTTGCTTCATACTGCCGCACTGACCCCAGCAGACTGCAGACTGCAGCAGATGCAGCCGACCGCACTGACCGTAACGGCCGCTCAGATACTACATTCTTTCATACAAGAGGAAACATTTGCGATTACTTCAAAATACTGTGATCTAAGCCTAGGATGTTCATAAGTTCTAATTTACTCTTCTCAGTCAAATTTTGGCGATTGTCTTTATATGCCCATATTAGTTCTGAGACCTCCTATTATTGCATATACCTGTTTTATAATCTAGGTGTACTGTTGTTGATTGTTTGAGCTACAACTATTTATCCTCTCCATCTTTACGAAAGGATGCAGCGATCTCCGCGGCCGTTGCGGTCAGTGCGATCAGCTGCAGTCTGCTGCAGTCTGCTATAGTCTCAGTCTGCTACAGTCTGCTGCGGTCTGCTAGTTTGCTGCAAAAACCCTACGGTGCATTTTCGAACATGTCATCCGTAATGCAGAGAATAGTAAGTGAGTCCCGCATTCAACAGAGAAAGGCTTCAATATTGCTTAGGTGTTCTCTTTTTTATGGTTCACATTCTCCAAACGACTGACCACATCCGCAGAAAGTTTGGGGAAGTTGATTGGGTAACCTGCGAACTTTCCGTACTTCCACAGCGCGTTAATGGAAAATTCGCAGGTCACCCAACCAACTTTCCCAAACGTTCTGCGGATGTTTCGGTCAGTTGTCGGAGTATGTAAAAAAAACATCACTTGTCCGTAGCTTGATCAAATCAGTTTCAGTTCCTTGAGCACTGCGAGTGGAAAATCAAAAAGCTTCATGCATCTTACCCTGATCGTCCCACAAAAATTGTTGTCGAAGACGTATTGGTTCTTTTCAAGTGAGGATGGGAGTAAAATATCCACGAGGGAATGGCAGCTTCGACTGCTATATGAACCTGAAACGATTACGAGGAAACTTTATTGCTGCTTAATCATGCTGAAATTTGGTTCGCAAACAGAACATAGGTATAAGACCATAATGTTGGGGTGCAAATCGAAATAAAGTAGCATCATACCGCTTTGATGACGATGAATTTCAACATATAAGTATTGTCACGACACCGATTATTTTCAACAAAATACGGTACCGAAAATATATATTCGGAAGCAAGATCGACGGCGGTAAGCATTGAGTCTAGTACTATTGCCTGCAAACAATTTGAGCTTTGTCGACTAGTACGAAATAGTATTGGTTACACAAAGTTTGTAATCAAATGCGCAGTGCGAAGTCATACGTAACACTGTTTTTGAGCTCGTCCATGCCTCCGATGTTGCAGAAACCTTTGATACCTCTCGGTGTTTAGAGCCATCTTTTCGATGAAGGCGCTTTGTTTTTCTTTTGAACCATAACATCTGCTTTCAGATTTGTGTGAAGGTCATTGCGGATTTTTCCTAATTATGAGGATAAACTTGTTGAATCCCTATGTTGAAGCACTGTTCTTCGTACTTTCTCATTGACTTTATATTTATAATCAGAAAAAGTCCGCTACCCGCCTTTACACGAATCTGGGAGCCGACCATACTTAGTCAGAATCTTACAACAAAAAATATCAGACTCTTATCACCGTTAAAAACTGACATGCTATTTGCATATTGAATAGGTTTTACAAAGATTGTCGCCCATTTCAAGGTATCTAAACTCCCAATATTTCCTGACCATTGAAGACAGTGGCCCGGCAAATCTTCAATTTGAGTTTCTCGATTACCTGGCTTAATTTGACTCGCTAATTCTAAAAACCCTCTTTAGAACGAGCAAAAATGGTGTCAAATTTAGACGAGTGGAACATTTTCCGCCAAGGTACGAGACGCAGAAGTGTCGCGGGACCCTTCTGATTGTAACGCTAGGGATGCTCCCCCCTCCCACCCCCCGTGGGAGGGAAAACGCGAGCTCGTTTGGAAGCGTGTAACACTTGCATGCGTGCACGTGTTTGAGGGCAATTTTCTTGGCAAAGGCAGCATGTTGTGTGCTCAGACTCGCGTTGCTTCCAAATTTGGGTGCAAGTAACCTACCATATAAAACTCCAAGATGTGAGCTTTGCCGAGCCTTTAACCACCTCATTTACAATTACACAATTTCAGAAGCGAACACAACACAGGTGCGATAGTGTGAGAATTTTCTCACCCCCCTTTCACCCCTGAGCAGAGACCAAGGTGACCCCCTTCACCAAAAGCAGAAAAAAATCAGTGAGGTAAGGTTAAGCAAAGGAGATATTTGTACGCGAACTGTTGAAAAAAGTGCTTGGTGACGGGTGTAAGTAGTGATTTTTGGACATTTTCGAGTTTTTAACATCAAAAAATTTATAACTTCTGTAGATGAGCATCTTTTACGGCGAGATGGTCACCGTTAGAACCGCCTTGTCCTCCGCTTCCAAAAAATATAAAGCATGTCTGAGATCCATTCAAAAAAATGCCTGGGTGAAGGGTGTCCTAGTGATTTTTGGACATTTTCGAGTTTTTAACATAAAAAAATTCATAACTTCTGCAGATGAACATCTTGTACGCCGCGATGGCCACCATTGGGACCGTCTCGTCCTCTGCTTTCAAAAAATATATACTTTGTCTGGGGTCCATTAGAAAAAGTGCCGGGTGAAGGGTGGGTGAGACTTTTGTAATGGGAATGCTCAAGTACAGGCTTTTTTACCATTGTGAAAAGACGTCTACTTGAGCACTCCCATTATAAGAGTCTCACCCACCCTTCACCCGGCACTTTTTCTAACGGACCCCAGGCAATGTCTAAATTTTCTGAAAGCGGAGGATGAGACGGTTCCAATGGTGACCATCTCGTTGTACAAGACGTTCATCTACAGAAGTTATGAACTTTTTTATGTTAAAAACTCGAAAATCTCCAAAATTCACTAGGACACCCTTCACCCAGGCATTTTTTTTAACGAACCCTAAACAAAGTATATATTTTCTGAAAGCGGAGGATGAGCCGGTCAATGGTGACCATCTCGTTGTACAAGACGTTCATCTACAGAAGTTATGAATTTTTTTATGTTAAAAACTCGAAAATCTCCAAAATTCACTAGGACACCCTTCACCCAGGCATTTTTTCAACGAACCCCAAACAAAGTATATATTTTCTGAAAGCGGAGGATGAGGCGGTCAATGGTGACCATCTCGGCCTACAAGATGTTTACCAATAGAAGTTACGGATTTTTCTATCCTAAAAACTCGTAAATATCCTGAAATCACTACCCACACTTTTCACAAGGCACTTTTTCAACAGACTCCAAGCAAACTATATATGCTAAAAACGGGACAAGGTGGTTTAAACATTCCCCTTGTTGATGTTGCTGTTCATTTACAGAAATTACGAATTTCTTCTTTTGAAAAGAAATGCTTGAAAATTGTCTAACTTTTTTCCGAAACAAATCTTCTCGCATGCACATTCTCTATGGTAATTTCAAAAACAGGCAAAGTGATGTAAAAAGGAAAAAGGAAAAATGTAAAAAAAAGCAAGGAGCTGGTTACAACCATAATTGTGTGCTAATCCAGCAGCACATCGGCTCACATTTCAGAAAAAGACAACTAGTGATGGCAAGGAATTGAAAATTATAAACTTTGACTAGAAAATGAAATGATGAGAGAACACCGTGGCTCCCTCCTTACCCTCCCCCCCCCCCTCACCTCGTCGACATTATATGATTTCTTGATCGACTGAAACACCCTTCACCCGAAGGGGCTGCGACCGCTGTGACCCCCTTCACCCTGGAGGGGTCATTCTTACCTTATCGCACCTGTGGAACACAAAATTCATAATTACAACACCATGTTTTTGGATGGATACGGCCCCAGTCTCTCCAGCTAAGATTATCATTTACTTTCGTTGGACGAATATATTTAAAATCAGCTTGGAACGCTAATTCCAGATTGCTGTTCCTAGCTGCTTAGCATTTTTCTGAAGCAAGTTATGGTCTCTTTTCTATGCAAAGTTTGCGTGCTCGTCAGCCTACTGATGTTACGATGTCGACGTCTAGGATGGTTTTGCAATTATACTGCTCCCTTTCGAGGTCAAAAGAATTAATCTGATGTTAGCTTAACATGCTAGCACTTGTTCGAGTAGGTTCTTATCTACACGCCTCTCACGACATTCAGAAGTTTGTTAGTTACTCACAACCAAGCCCATAACTCGCTCCGGAATAAACAACAAGGAACAGCTTATTTGGAATCAGCGTTCAATGCTGATTCTAAATGTATGTGTCTCATCTCAAAAGGCAAATCTAAATTAGAATTTCTCTTGTAAGAAACAAGCGGATAGCTGATAGCGGATAGCATTTAGATAACTGCAACAAAAACATCTCAGCTGAGGGATGAAAATCTCGACTAAATTTCAAAAATGACGGAAGTCACTTAACTTAGGTCGGCCTTTTGAAATGAGACACATATATCTAAATCAGCCCGGAACGCTGATTCCAAATATGCTTTCCATAGCTGCGAAGCGATTCTCTGAAGCGAGTTATGAGCTTTGCAAAGCTTGCGTGTTGAACCGCCAAAAAAATGCCACGATGCCGTCATCTAGCTAGTGGTTCAAATGCCTAATACACCCTACCAAAGTTACTAATGATGCACAACTGTTAACAACGTGCAGCTTGATATAGCTAAATGATTCATTTTGATGTTATTCCGATTTTCCACCATTTTTTGGAGCAGATTCCGTCTACAAGCCTTTTTTCCATATTTTGTTGTATGTCAATAACACATGCTAAAAAGCTCATAACTCGCTTTAGAGAAACGCTTCGCAGCCGAGGGAAGCATATCTAGAATCAGCGTTCCGAGCTGACTCTAAATATGTGTGTCTCATTTCAAAAGGCAGACCTAAGTAGGCAGCGTCCAGGCAGATCTCGACCTATGGGGTTTTTACGTGGAAAGTACTTTTGGGGCCCTAACTAAGGCACTGCCCAAGACGCAGCTCAGGTAGTGCTGTAATGGCTGAGATATTCCCCTCGAAACTGGACCCCGCAACCGTGTTTCGCATGGATTCATGGCGCAAAGCGGATCCTGGCGCGAAACTGCCATGAATCCATGCGAATACGTTCGCGGGGCCAGTTTCGAGGGGAATATCTCAGCCATTAGAGCAGTACCTGAGCTGCCGCTTGGGCAGTGCCTTAGTCAGGGCCCCAAAAATACTTTCCACGTAAAAGCCCCATGAGTCCAGATCTGCCTGGACGCCGCCTTTAAGTGACTTCCCTTGTAAGATATAGCGGAAGCTATATTCTTTGCATTACAACGAACGCTTCTTCAACAGTTACAACTAAAACATTTTATTGAAAATTATTTGAAGTTGGGAGTGTCTGTAAGAATAATGCTGAATCCATGGCTATGATCGCAGAGAATGCAGAAAATCATAGAAAACAGGAAAAGCAGGAAATCTGAATTGACTGGTAACTGCGCCGAACCTCGATCAGTGTTGTTTGAGTTTTTTGATCAATAAAAAACTAATGAGTAAAACTTTTGAGACGACCTAATACAATAGTTTGAGAAAGGGACCTATTTGTGAGAACACAGGCTTGCAATGCTGAACTCATTGAATGCTTAGATAAAGTGCGGGTATACATTTGAATGGGGTAAATGCAATGTAAGAAGGAGGCCCGTACAGGATTATGAAAACGAAAGTATTTCCTGTAACACTTACTGGTATAATGATTTTTAGCGTTCGTATGTTTTCGATAAGTTGATAACGAGCGTTGAGATCGAGCCCTCTTCCGACTGATTTTCTCGTCATAACTTTATTACATGATAGAAGCAGTGCCAGAAGCTGAAACAAGACAATGTTTCCCTGACACACTTCAACCTAATGCAGGTCGATGGAAATGCTCTTCGCAAATTTTTGAGCCTAAAGGAGAAAACATGAAACACAAAAATATAAAATACATAAAACATGCTCTTTACAAAGTACTCCGCTGGTAATTCTTCCATTAGGTCTTGCCGAAACTCTTTTTCGAATGATTTGTTCCATTCTCAAATACAACGGTACTGCATAAAATGCTCAAATCGTATCTCGCAATGGCTTTCTTCTGAGCAAGCAAATGTCACCGTGCAGCCCCATCTATATTGGCCCACAGTCAACCCCTGTCATTGTAACTTCGCTGAGGCGGTTTAACGGTTGAGTCACAGTGCTCGGCGTACGGGCGTACGTGACGTACGCAGCGTACGGTATGTTTTATCATACGAGCGTACGCGGCGCACGCTGCGAACGCCGCATACGCCGAGCAGTCTGGCCCAATCCTAACTTGAACCTTACGGCGCAGTTCTCCATCCAGTGAGTTACCGATCTAAATGCGAATGGCTTTCCAAACATAATAATAGTGCGCGTTGTCGAAAAAGAAATTTACTGTTCAAGTATTTCTTGTCAAATGGTAAGGCATTTCCATCGCACGTCATTGTTCGAGACCGACTAGTACACTTTTGACTACACGCCAAGCAATTTTTTGACAGCAGCCGCTATCGAGAAATCGATAATGAGCGTTATCAAAAATTACGCATACAAATGGTTGAAAGAAATTCACTATATTATTATCTATGAAAAATGTCATTGGAACACTCCGCGCCATCATCAAGGGCCGCGGTTAAGCCGGTAAGCAATATTCCCCCCCCCCGCGGTCGACCGTTACAAAGATAATGACATGAACCAAGGGCCGCGGCCCGCGGGTCGGCCGCTCCCGGCCACGCCCCCAAATTAAGGCTGCGAACGAGCATGAAAGACCTTTTAGATCCGCCGTTCACCCCTCACGTCTGAAGATGAGATGTCCCGTAAGTTACTCAAAAGCAACTCACTGAATTCTTCTCTGGATTTTATCGTTAGCACTTATTTCCGTAAGATCAAATCAAGGCGTATGATGCAACTACACAAGTGAGGTTAGATCAACGCGGCATTGACTTTAGCTCACTCATCAGGTCACACTGAATAGCATGAGGGAATGGGCGACCGTAAGTTCACCTTAGAAACTCAGTTGGGCCGTCAGTTTGAATCATATGAACTGACCGAGCTTTAGTAAGGGCCATTGCGAACTAGTTGGCATATCCTGCTCTCCCGGCTCTGGTAAACTACGATGATGCTTACCCTTCCCTGTTTGTGCGCCAAATCCCTGTTCTCTTCCTACTTCTCTATGCCAGTTCTAACCTCAATGTTTTCGTAATCAGCCTGCTCATTTACCCACCCCTCCCCTGCTCTCTGTGTCCAGCGCCAGCTATATATTCAACTAGTGTCATCAATATTGATCTAAATCCAAAGGTAGCCTGTGACATCCGTTCCGTCCCGAAGTGTATGCGTGCAGCTTTGATTCATATCGGTTCCAAAATGAAATTCGCAATTGGAACTAGTACACACTGGCACAATGAACAAACAGATGCACAGACGTACCAACAGATAAGGCGAGAAAATGCTAATTTAAAAGCACTTTTGAATGCATGTTTGTCTTATGCATAAAACTTACGATGACGATAACGAACATGAAAAATAAAAGGATGCAATCGCGATATCTGCTATCATAATCAGTCGGCATGTAAATAAGTAATACCATGACACTTCCAACGCTGAACTGAAAAACTAGTTTTGGGTGGTACGCATAGTAATAATAAATCCAACAGTTGTGGACATTAGTACATAGGACTGAGAAGGCAAGAATGAGTTATGCATAATATAGGTAACATAAAGGTAGGCAAACGCTCTTCCTAGCAGCTACTCAGATAACCGCCGGGGGCAGGCGGCCATGCGAATTTTGAGCAAGCGCGCACCGGAAAAATAGTTCGTTGATTTTTCGCGACCCGCTTGCAGAAATTTGGAAGAAAGTTGGCAAAATTAAAGACGAATGCTTGAAGAACAATCGCGGTTTCTTTATGGATTAGCTGCGGCGCAGTGGCCGCATTCTCGCAGACTTTCCGCGAGAATATGCAAAAATTTCGAGGGCCGCACGTTCCTTTGTGGAGGACCGCGCAACCCCCAGGTACTTTCCGCTGAGAGAAAGTACCTCAAACTTGAGTAATTAAACCAACGGTGACACCTCTGCCACACAGAGTCTTACCTGCGCTCGACGTACGCCCGAAAAACCTAAAAAGAGTCCGAGCGCTTGCTGAAAGTTTGGCCAGCGCTCGCTGGAAGATATTATTTGACGAGCGCTCGCAGAAAATTCTGTATTGCTGCCCGCTGGCAGAACGCGGAAGTACCGCCCGCTGAAGGTTTGGCCACGCCCCAAAATTCTGCTGACCGCCTGCAGAAAAGCGCGAGTTTGCGGACCGCCTGCCCCGGCGATTATCTGAGTATGTTATCAAACTACTTCCTCTCGTAATCATTGAAAAATACCCAAGTTTTGAGACCATCGCACTCAGCTTATCCAACTGGTTTTAGCTAATTTTAGCTAGTATCAAGTATATTTTCTTTCTAATTTCTGAAAAGCATTTATGATAAACGGTTAGAGTTGACATTTTACAAACCGGTATGTACCTCCCCTCTTGTTCCTGCCGAAAAAGTCTGAGAGTCCGAACTACTTCTACAAGATGCGCCAAAACCACAGGCACATATATTTTTGCGTGCCGAAAGGACACAAGGCAGTCTTGAGAATCAATTATGATCATTTTTAACATTACCATCTCAACACGTTTCGGACCGGTGCTGCACATGGTGCTGCACAATGCTTTGAAGGAGCTTTTTGACGTTTACAGGGGGTTTTCCTTTATTCCAAGGTTCTCAAGTCAAAAGCCTAAGCTTCTACTTTTCAAATGACTCTGTAGAGTTGTGTCGCCAATATTTGTTTAGGAGATATGAGAACAAATCGAACAACAGTTGCAACGAAGTGCGGCAACGCGAACGACGCGTGCGACGTCGCGACTTTTGTTTACTTCGATCTCAAAGAGAAAAACCGTAGTTTCAATAATGATGCGTATTGTGTATAACATAGATACTTTCAAATCCTATTTGAAACTGAGTTCTTACTCCTATCTTTCAAGAAAGCACAAAAGTCCTTCTCAAGCGACAAAATTCAAACACTTAGAATTCGCTCAGAACTTTGGGTATGGAGCTTACCTGACATGCTAATTACAGATGCAGTCCACAGTCTGCAAAATGAGGTCCCCTTGTAGGCTAACGAATGAAAGTACACTCTTTTTCGTCGCGCGACTTCGCGATCCGAAACGTGTTAACGCAGTAATAAAGTATCATTTGCCTGCTCTATCTTTCGAGAAAACCTCAAACTCTGTGGTCAGCTGAAATGTAGTCTATACAATAAGCATACCTTCACTATATACGATTTCTTTCCAGATTCTCCGCTCTCGCCTCGAGTTTGCAGTAGAGCAAGCCTTTGCATACTGACTTTGCATTGTTGATTAAGTATTTATCAGTCAATTTGAAAAAATTTGTTCAAATATGTGTTTCTGTAATAGCGTACAAACCCTCTAAAATCCAGTTGCCCACGCGTCGCTTTGTACCAATGCGCGGGAAGGCAGAAACGTTGGGTCCTGAAGCGCTATGGGCTTGTTACAAGCTGCAATGAGCGCGCACTGCTTTACGCATATATTATAAGCTTTGGAGAAGTTTTCGTCAAAACATATTTATGTTTTTGAAAAAGGACATGGAAGTTGACAAAAAATTTCTTTCAAAAAAGTGAACGCCTACAGTCATTTTGGGCTTGCGCTGTTGTTAAGGGCACAAAAAAAATGACCTGATTTTCAGACTTTGCCTGCAGCGGTTTCCCTCTTCGCAAATATGTGGTTACGTAGCTTATTCACTCAGATATACTGCCACAGATTTGCCTTGTCGATGCCGTAGTTTTTGAAAAATATCAATTCGATGGTTTGCATACGAAAAAACTTGTGGGTCAACTTAATGCAGTGCACATGGCTGCCTGCAAAATTCAAAATCGCACTTCGAAACGGTGAGCGCTCATTTATGTTACACATCAAGCGTTTGATTAAAGCGATAACGTGTCATGAGATCTTGTAAAAGTGAACATTTTTCGGGGAGGGGGCCTGAATTACTTAGGGGCCAACTGGGGAGTTCAAAAAAGTGTCGTACTGCAAGTCATCTGCTCTTTCTTTCGACAGCAAAATCCCTCAAAAATTTGAGAAGAATACTCGGAAATGATAGCTGCACATAGCAAAAACGATGGAATCAAAATCTCGCCGATCATTTCAGTGAGAAAGGAATGAACCAACTTAGAAACGTGTCAAAAAAAAGAAACTAAAAAAAAGAAAAGCAAAAGGGCACAAGTTTTTGGAATAATCTAACATTCTGTAGTGTTATCATATAAAGATCAACGTTGTGTCGTAAGTCGCACTCGTTGATGTTTTTTGGCTTCAGCGCAAAGACATATGAACTTACGCTGATAAATTGACAAAACCAGAAAAGGCACCAAGGACGAGCTTTTTCATAATGTGAGGGTTTCCACGTTGCTATTGTCCTTTCGAAGAGCAGCAATATTGCGCACGTTGAGGCGTACGAGTAGCATATTTCTGCATATTTGAATGCTTTACAGGCTCTTTATAAGACCAAATTTTTACAAACAGCAAACCGAAAATGGCTGTCAGAACTAATATTAATGTAACATGAGCATGCAGCAACCATAGTGCGCGTGATAAAACTGTAATTAATTCGCCTACGGCGTAGTTGCATACAAATATAGATAGCAATACACTGAAAATGATCAGATATGCAAATGATCTTAATTCTTATTCGAGCATCAACATAAACTATCGGACTTACTTGAAAAATGGATGGAAAGTGTCTTTTTT